GCGAGCATCTGTAGTAGTAGTATTTCTTACTGATTCTTTGTTTTATCGTCGTGCACGTTTAGTCGTCGGGATAATGACTTCATTTATTTTATTTTGCAGTGCTCGAGATGGCTTTTGATCCCTCAGACCTTCGCAAAGCAGTAGACAGAAAACCTAAAACAGCCCAGGCGAAACAGCCCGGGAAGAAAGTGAAAAAACGCCCCCGACATCATACGCCCGAGCAGCCAAGGAAGGGACTTGGGGAATGCTCTGCTCAGGCCCATGATCTTCGGACAATGACTCCTCGGCCTCAGACCCCAGGAGGGACCCCGATAGTGGTCGACCTCGAGGAGGATATTCCTCAGCATACGTCTCAGCCGTCGGGGGTTGAGAGATGCATCCTCGTTCCTGAGATCCTCGAGAAATATGGAGGCGAAAGTGTGAGCCGGACCAGCGGTTTGAAAGAGGTCGAGGTTCTGGCTTTGAAGGTAAGCTCGAGCCTTTTACCCCATAAATTATTTCTATGTTCTATTCCCGATGTGACACCTTCATTCTTGTTGTCTCAGGCTCTAACTGTGGCCCGAGCTTTAGCCCAAAGGGGTGAGAGGGAAGCAGGGAAGGTTGCTTCGCTCGAGGAGGAGCTCGAGCGTCGAGTGCAGAACATCCTTGAGCTCGAGGATGAATCCAAACGCCAGTCAATGGAGAAGGTCGAGCTTGAGGCTTCCCTGAAACATGCCCGTGATGAGCTCGCGCTTGTAAAGGACGAGGCCGACGCTGCTAAGGCTGAGCTCGAAAAGCGGACGAAGGAGATGGAGGCAAGTATAGAGGAGGCTCGGGTTGCGGCAGTCGAGGACTTCAAAAAGTCCGACGAATTTCGGGCTTTGAGGGGAGAGTATGCCTTGGGGTCCTATGACTATGCATTCAAGCAAGCCCGGGCGTTCCTTCGTTCAAGAGTTCCCGAGTTCAAAGCCGAGGAGCTAACTTCTGCTCCCGAGGCTGTGGACGGGCTTGAGCTCTCGTCGTCAGAAGGAACCCGAGCAGAGGAAGATGACGACCACGTTGAAGACGATGCCGAGAGGCCCCCGAGGAACGACGATTTAGACTAGGTTTTTATTATTATTATTATTATTATTATTATTATTATTATTATTATTATTATTATTTTTGTATGTTTGGTTGTACAGCCCGGGAATGGGCTCGAACATCTTTGCACTTTATGCATGCCCATTTCTTATTGTTCAATTTTTGACTTATGATGCCGAGCAACATATGTGAGCTGGAAGATAAGCCCGAGCAATACTTACTAATTTGAACAACAATTCAGAAATTTGATGGAAATCCTCGAGCAACAATGTTACTGTATAATAAAGTTATAACAAACACGAGGAAAGTTGTAACAATGTTCGAAACTCGAGCAACCTTATTAGCGAACAACAAAGTTTGAAATCTCGAGGAGTAATATAACAAAGTTCTAGAGCAACCTTATTAATGAATAATAATAAAGTTAAAAACTCGAGGAATATAAAGAGTGATTCCCGAGCAACCTTACCACTGTGAATAGTGAAGGTGAAACTCGAGAAGAATAAAGAGCTATCCCGAGCAACCTCACTACTGTGAATAGTGAAGGTGAGACTCGAGGAGAATAAAGAGCTATCCCGAGCAACCTTACCACTGTGAATAGTGAAGGTGAAACTCGAGGACAATAAAGAGCTCTCCCGAGCAACCTTACTACTGTAAATAGTGAAGGTGAGACTCGGGGAGGATGACGTCCTCGAGGTACCTTATTATTGGCAATAATAATGTTAAAAACTCAAGGAGAATAAAGAGACATCTCGAGAACATTATCATTGGGAATAATCAAGTTAAAAACTCGAGAAATATAAAGAGTGATTCTCGAGCACCCTTACCACTGTGAATAGTGAAGGTGAAACTCGAGGAGACTAAAGAGCTATCCCGAGCAACCTCACTACTGCGAAGAGTTCATCTTGATTCCCGAGGAGTGATTTGGATGTGTTTCAGTATTTGAAACGGCCAGTGCTCGGGAAT